CTCCAGGGTATCCGCTACACCTGCGTCACCTATGGCGCCCACCATGGTGACTAACGCAGCTGCCGGCCTACGAACAAGATAGGTAATGCGCACCGAAGTCTGCTAAACCAAAGGTATCATCGCGGTGCCGTCCACGCTCACCGCACCATGCGGAGACAACTCTAACAACGGGAGCTTATATGATGGGCATAGCACGGGGTAGGAGTGATCCTAGCATTCGTTCCTTAGTCGTTTGCTTGTGTTCACTCTACTTGCACATTCACGGGGGAATTTGGCAAGAGTTTCAATAGCAAAGGCTCACAACAGAGGTTCCGAATGGTAGCAACAACATTGGCAAGAGAGACTACATCAGAACTAGCAAGCATGCATCACGGTCGACCGCGATTCAGCATTGCAAAGCTCGCACCGCTCCAGCATTGCAGAGAAGTGGCTTGCCGACGTTGCAGGTCCACGGCGTGCCAACGCTGCAGCAAGACAGCGTTGCACCCGCACGACAGCAGTGCACCCGCTTCCCAGGAGCTCGCAGCTGGTTGGCGTCCTGTGCCCTGTCATGTACCGTCGTCTGCACCTGATCCTCCACGTCGACCTCGGGATACCACACCGAGGTCGGCTTCGCCAAGAACACCTGGGCAACCGTCGCGCACCTCCGCAGCACTCCGTCGCCCTGTAACTTGGTAGACCGGGCAACCAGGACGCCCAGGTCGGCGTCCAGACGCACAGGCCGGCGTCCAAACGCCCAGGCTGGCGTCCAGGACGCCCGGGTCGGCGTCTAGACGCCCAGGACGGCGTCCAGACTCCCAGGACGCCGTTAAAACGCCATGGTCGGCGTCCAGGCGCCCAGGACGCTGTCCAAGCGCCCAGGACGCCGTCCAGACGCCCAGGTCGGCGTCCAGGCGCCCAGGACGCCGTCCAGACGCCCAGGTCGGCGTCCGAGCCCCCAAGACGCCATCCAGGCGCCCATGATGGCGTCCCACATTACAGCAGGTCGGCTGCGCTCCGTGCACACCCGATAACGAAGTCGGCTCTGCCCAAGCGAGGACGGGGCCAACACACAACTCCCATTGACAGACATTCAGGTCAGAGTACTTTTTTACCTCATGTCAGACATGAAGTGGAGGTTTTGATGAAGGTTCGGAATTCTTGAAGTGGCCCATTTCAGTAGGGTCCCTGCTATCAGGAATTTTTTTTTCAGTTGGTTTTTTCTTTCTACGTAGCGGTAATATGATTTTCTTGTAATAGGTTGTGATTGATGGAAATGACTTTCTGTTTTCATTTGATTCATCAGAAGTATATTTTGTGATTCACCTGAAACTGAAAGTGTAATTAGGGAGAAATTTGCAGTGTCACGGGGCGAATTTGCTGCGTCATGGGGCAAATTTGCTGCGTCAGGGGGCACATTTGCTGCTTCAGGGGGCGAATTTGCTGTGCCAGGGGGCGAATTTGCTGTGAGGTGAATCCATTGTGACTAGTGAAGTCCGAATCATTGCATCCAAAAAAACAGATTCTAGCATTTACACTAGTCCTATTTGATTGGTTAGAGAAGCTTCTTTGAAATATATAAGACATCAGACGCAAGGGAAAAAAAGTATCTGATGCTTGTCCCATCCCATATTGTTCCCTCACAGCGCTGCCTCCCCCACCAGCAAAGCCCCCACCCCATTAGTACGGACAGCCCATCATTTCACTGCTACAGCCTGGTCTAGCTGGAAGCCTAGCTGGGATATGGAGGCCACCGTCTTATCCATACGAATCTCGTACCCCTAATCCACAACCTCAACCACAATGAGGCACCACTGGGGTTCAATAATGGAACCAGGAGGTCACGCGCTCCAGGGGTTACCATTAGCCTGTGCAGGTGGTGTCGTGATATGTATATATTTTTTATATATATCAATAACTGCCTGTAGTTGTAGCTGTAGTTTATTGTTGCACTTATTGTTGGTGGTTCACCACTTGTTCTTGCCTCTCGTTTCTATATCTTGTAACCTTCTCAATATTGAATCCCCTCTTTGGCAAATCTCTCTCGAGATGTTCCTCTCGTCACTCTCGTCCTACCCAAACCCTAGTGCATCTAAGTCCTAACTTAAACTACTACTTCATCCACCCCCCCCGCCCACCCTTTTCATAGCCCCCTCATTCACCCTGATAGCACCAATCATCTGGCCCTCCTGCCCTCCCTTCCCAGCGTCCACCCTGGCACATGACTCACCATTAATCGGCACGGGTTTCCTCCACTCAAGCATGACCTCCGATACCTCTCCCACCTTAGCCATCCACTCTTACCTAAGAAGAATTTAATGCATTCCCTTAGTGCAGGCCTCTCCCACTCCTTCAGCAAGCAACCACACTTCCATACACGTCATGAACATTCCACGTAGCCCCCCTCAACCTATGGACACTGACTTGATACCACAATCTGCACCCTCCGCCTCTGCAGACCTTGCTCTTCCTTCACACACAGCTAATACGCATGCATCCACGAGGCCCATAGGCACAAAAACGGATGAACCCCACCCGTATGGCCTCACAACCCGTGGATGCTAGAGAGGGGCCCACATTCACAAGTCCTCAGCCCCACCTCCGTAATTAGCACATGAAGCCACTGCCACCACCTACCCTTTTCCTAGCGTAGCCAGACGTGATGCCACAGGCACATAACGATAGGCCGAACATGGCCCATTCGATAGTTAGTTATGACGGCACGAGTTTGACAGTCTGTGCGGATGGGACCTCTTCGCCCATTTAGGAGTGAGATGGCCCAAGTGTCGGTGCTCTTTTGCGGACGCCCGAGCACTGCGACACCACACACCTTTTTGTCAGCCAACCGATGCGGCACGCAGAGCATAGGCCCTTCACGTGGTGGGGTTTGTACTTCTCCTTACTATCGTAGCCCCACCCCCACTGTTTTTATGGATGGATGGTGGAGCATGTTAGATTCTATTAATTGGGAGGACTATTTTTCCCCGTCACGCACTCATGACCGGCCCCTTCGACTCATCCCGCCGAGGGTCGGAGAGGGCTACCTGGACATCCTCTGTTTGTTCACCCAGCACGGATTACCCATGCACCTAAGGCTGCAGGCTCAATCTTTCTCCTAGTGGCGGTTCCGACCGGCGTACTGGCTCCAACCACTCCCTTAGAGAGATCACACATCACAACTATCACGGCTCGCTTAGCTTGTTTCTTTGAGGGAGATTGAGAGCCCATCATGTATGAGGCACTCCCCTCCCTTTCCATTCTTCTCGCCATATCTTCCCTTCCAACCTCAATGACAACGAGAAGCGCATTGCATGCCGCCTACGCTTGGTAGTATATAATGTGATGTCTCACGCTTGCACAGCATTGGACTCGGCAGTGACACTGACACTGACAGGACGATACAATGTATATGAGGAAAGCATCTGAACGTAGAGCACAAGATTCTCCCATGGGTGGCTATGTTCGAGGAGGCTCTAGTTCGCGATGTCTCACATCTTCATCGGGCCATTTTCACTACATGACCTGAATCTTTGTGAGGACCCTTGGGGTTGGGTTATGGAGCACCCCTGCGAGACATTCTTGACTTTTCCATCGATTCTGCCCTCATTTCTCACCATCTTTCAGTTTTGTCTTCGGGGCCGTTGCACACCTGCTGCACAGTCTTCTCTGGCGTCTTCCACCATCTTCGTGCTCGCGAAGCCCAACCAAAATTTGCATCTGATTGCCATGGGGGAGGCCATGGTCCATATCCCATTGCGGAAAATGTTTTCAGCTTAGTGACCAGATGACATGGGTCCTTCAAACATCCTAGTAGTTTGACGTAGGAGTGACCTGTGGCACAGAGGTTGTTGTAAGGGCGCTGGTTGTGCTCTAGCTGACCACCAAGGGTGTGGAGTTCATCCGCTCGAAGCGAGACATGTGCAAGGGAGCTCCATTAAGCCCATTCTTTTTTGCACCAACGCAAAGCAGTGCACTCAGGCCAGTCTTGCAGGGGAAGGATGTCCAGCTCGGGTCATATGCGGGTGACACCTAAATGCTCCGCCACTTCGAGAAGATCGTAGTTCATCTACAGGTGATGGGCCTTCTTGTGCAGCCGCAAAATTACCGGGTGCACCACTCTATCACAAACTCTGCCATGGACATGGAGGTCGTCTCAGGTCGAGGCATCGAGTTCGCTTGCATGGGGCTTGTAGTGGCGGGCATGCTTGTTGGCAGCCTGATTTTGTAGAGACACGAGTTCCTGAGCATCTGGAGTGGATGGGCCATATGCTGCTATGGCTCGCAAGGTTGTAGCAGCCACAGACTGTAGCTCATCTAGTCTCAAATTGCATCACCACCTGGCCATAGTACTTGGCGCGGATGGCCATAGTAGTGCACTTGAGCTTCACTGCTCAGGACAGTCGGTTAGGGGAGGCGTTTGAACAGCTCTTTGTGCCAGGTACATGGATGTGCCAAGAAGAGATGTGTGAGGCAACATGCTCCAATTCTTTTGTCCCTTTCCTCGGTGGGGGATTTCGCCAGCACAGCTAGCTTTGCTGCGTCCCTCACGTGGTGGAATAATGATGACACATGCATCACCTCTAAAGTCGGCCGAATTCATCAAATCTCCCACTTGGGTGGTTTCCAGACAGTTTGTACATGTTACAGAGTACACCTGAACAAATGTATATTCATACGACAACCAAAAGCACTCCGTTTACAAGATAGCCTAACATATATATTTTTTTTTTTTCTGAAGTACTAGATAATTCATATATGTCTACTATCCGGGCGATGACGGTACCTAGTTGGTGTTCAATATGGGGGGTAATCTAAGTGGGGCAGTACGGTAATACCCAGAGATGGTGATGAGGCTGGGATAGCAGATGGACGTTGAGCATGGAGGATGGAGATGGACTTGAGAGTACAGGTGGGTGAGGCGGTGGAGGACAAGACGGCATCACTCCAACCCCAAGTATGCCCGGTTTATTACCCCACCTCCCAGCTCCCTCCATTCGTATTCCAATCCAATCGCCTGCAAGCTACCGAGCACGCGGCCCTATCATCGTGTCAGTGTGCCCTTGTTCCTCGTCTGTGGATCCACCAGCTGCACCAGGTACGCCCCCAGCGTACCCCCTCCACGTTGCTGCTGCACCCCCCTGGGCGGCACTGGATGCAGGGGGGTGCACCCCAGCAACAAGCCCAGGGCCCCACAGGGGAGCCAGCCCACCCGCCCCTCGTGCCGCACCCTGCTGCTGCTGCTGCTGCTGCTGCTGCGCCGCTTGCTGCCTGTGGGCCCCTGGCGTTGCTTCACCAGCAGCACCACCACCAGCAGCAGCGGTGGCAGGGGGATAGGCGGGATGAGCAGGAACCCGGTGTGTGGCGCTATAGCTGCTCCACGTGTACTCCTGTGTGCCACTCATGCTCTGCTGCTCTGTGTCACTGGGGCTGCTGAACGCACTGGGATCAAGGGGAGGCAGCGACCCGTGGAACGACGACGGCGTGGTGAACCCACTGGGAGTCCCACGCGGGCTCCTGCTGCTGCCGCCTGCTCCACCCAGCTGGTCTCGGATGCTGCGCAGCGCCGACACCACCTGCTCCATATCGGGGCGCAGCGTGGGGTGCTCCGCGGTGCACCACAGCGCGACTCGCAGGAACGTGCTGAACGTCTCCTCCAGCCCGGCTACCATCTCCCCTGCGCTCACTCCCCCTTCCTCCCACTCCCCCGCACCGCCACCAACCACACCCGCACCAGCGGCGACCACAGAAGCATCGGCGCCATCAGCAGCGGTGGCAGTGGCGAGCAGGGCGCTGTGGAGGCGCGGGTCGACAACGGAGGCGAGGCCTTGCGGGCCGAAGGCGAGGTGCAGCACGACCTGGCTGAGCGGCACGTGCTGGATGAGCGCTGGCTGCCCCGTGGCCAGCTGCAGCAGCACCACCCCGAAGCTGAACACGTCACTGCTCTCCGTCAGCACGCCTGAATGCACGAAGTATGGGTCGATGTAGCCCTGTGGGGGGGAGGGGGGGGGAGATGAGAGGGGATATGGGGGGTGGAGGAGTGGGAGAGAGGACTTTTAGTCGACTCAAAATTCGCTGCTTCTGAATGCACTAAGTATGGGCCGATGCAGGCCTGGTGGGAGGGGCGGGGAGAATGGGGGAAGAGTGCAGCATATGGAGCGCAGCATATGGAGCGCAGCATATGGAGCGCAGCATATGGAGCGCAGCATATGGAGCTGGTGCGCGAGGTGAATGTGCCAAGTGTGGGTCAATGTCGCCCTCTCACCAGGCCAGCCTTCCATCTCCCCTCACCTTCCCTCATCTTCTCTACTCTCACCACACACAATTGCATCGCACCGCAGTGCACCGCACTGCATCTCACCTTGCTGCCCATGATCTCGCCAGGCACGAGCTCGCCCCGCTCCGGCATGGACTTGGAGATGCCAAAGTCCGCCACCTTCGCCTCCAGTGCTGCCGTCAGTAGGATGTTCGCCGGCTGCCATGCAGCAGCAGGCGAGGGAATGGCAGGGTGGGGTGGTGGAGGGTGGATTGGTGGAGGGTGGAGCACCGTTGAGTGAGCAGATTAAGAAACCATTCTGGTATGGGTGGAATGATTGAGATGGGAAGCTTCACCATACTTCATTCACGCCATGAGGACTAGGGCACGGTGCGACCCACCCCACCTTGATGTCGTGGTGCACGATGGCCGGCCGCATCTCGCGGTGCAGGTAGTGCAGCGCACTCGCCGCGTTCAGCGCAATGCGCATCCGCTCCCGCCACGTCAGCATGCGACCCATCTTGCCTGCCGCCAAGCCAGCAGAGCGAGTAGATGGCGTGGGATTGGATGAGACAATGAAAATGGACGTTGCAAGAAAGCAGACGATGAAGAAGGTACCATCATGGGATGGCGCATGCAAGGGGGGTGGTTGGGGGGGTGGGGTTGGGGGGGTGGTTGGGGGGGGGGGGTTGGGGGGGTGGTTATAGGGGTGTTTGGGGGGATTGGTTGGGGCCCAATTTGGTTGCGTGTACAGAGCGAGAGCTTAGATGCTCAATGCGCATTCAATCCGCTAGCAAGCACACCCTTGAACGCGCCCAGCGCGTCCAGTGGACTCCCACATGGACTCGAACACGAGCATCCCCACCCCAACAAGCAGCATCATACGCGACGGCAATCGCACCTTTGATCCAGGCATCCAGCGCGCCGCCCTCCATGTATTCAAACACGAGCAGCTGCTCGTCCCTCTCCACGCAGAAGCCTGTGAGGCGCACGAGGTTGCCGTGCGACACAGCTGTGAGCAGCTCTATCTCGTTCTTGAAGTCCGCCCCCCCGTGCCTCTGCTGCTCCGTCGCCTTCTTTATCGCCACTGCCTCACCGTTCAGCACCCCTCTGTACACCTGATGGGGACCAGGGGGGAGGAGGGGGGGGGGAAATTCAACTGGGAAGTTAATCGCATTTGTGTAACACCCAACCCACACAAAACTACTACAACACTAAAGTAGGAAATAAAAAGTGCAAACACCCAAGCTGAGATTGTGGGCTGGCTCTGACAAGAGGTGCCATGGGATAGGAGGGGTAGGAGAGCATGCACTGGCGGGGAGAAAAGAGGGGTGGGAAGGGGTGGCCAGGGGACGGCAAGGGAGTGGCCAGGGGACGGCAAGGGAGTGGCCAGGGGACGGCAAGGGAGTGGCCAGGGGACGGCAAGGGAGTGGCCAGGGGACGGCTCAGTGCTGGTGTGCTGCGATGGCAGCCATGAGTGGGTGGGCAGCCATGAGTGGGTGGGCAGCCATGAGTGGGTGGGCAGCCATGAGTGGGTGGGCAGCCATGAGTGGGTGGGCACCCACCTTCCCCTCACACGCTCACACCCACCTTCCCCTCACACGCTCACACCCACCTTCCCCTAACACGTTCTAGTCCCCTGCCATATCCGCCCTGTCAGAATCCCAGCCACTAACCACTGGGATAAAAGGGCTTGTTTGTGTAGCGGGTGAGTGCGCCCATAACCCCCCAGGCCGCCATGCCTGTAACCCTTCCCTAGGATCAATCGGGGATCACCAGTGGCACTCTGACACCCCCCCGCACTGGGATGCCCGAAGTGCACACACCGGGATTCGAACCCGAGACCTTCGCTCTGATACCATGTCAGAATCCCAGCCACTAACCACTGGGATAAAAGGGCTTGTTTGTATAGCGGGTGAGTGCGCCCATAACCCCCCAGACCGACGTGCCTGTAACCCTTCCCTAGGATCATCGGGGATCTCCAGTGGACCTCTGACACGCCCTGCCCCAGCCATACCTGGCCGAATCCGCCGTGCCCGAGCAGCAGGTGATCATCAAAGCCGTTGGTGGCGTCGTGCAGCTGCTGCAGTGAGTAGCGCCGCGCGTGCTGCAGGCTGATGCCCTCCAACGCCTCGTAGTCCGCATGGCTCCACCCTGGGCTTGGGCGTTGAGTGGGGGAAGGAAGGAGGGGGTGCAACGAGGGATGGAGGGGGGGGTGGGGGGATGGAGGGGGGGTGGGGGGATGGAGGGGGGGGTGGGGGGATGGAGGGGGGGGTGGGGGGATGGAGGGGGGGGTGGGGGGATGGAGGGTGGAGAGGCCAACGAGCGTGCTGCAGGCTGATGCCCTCCAGCGCCTCATAGTCCGCATGGCTCCACCCTGCCCGTGGCTCCACCCTGCCCGTGGCTCCACCCTGCCCTTGGGCGTTGAGTGGAGGAAGGAAGGAGGGGGTTGACCGTGCCCCCGCGGCCATGCCCAGGGGGACGGGCGGTGGGTGGGGGAAGGTGGTGGGCGGGGGAAGGTGGTGGGCGGGGGAAGGTGGTGGGCGGGGGAAGGTGGTGGGCGGGGGAAGGTGGTGGGCGGGGGAAGGTGGTGGGCGGGGGAAGGTGGTGGGCGGGGGAAGGTGGTGGGCGGGGGAAGGTGGTGGGCGGGGGAAGGTGGTGGGCGGGGGAAGGTGGTGGGCGGGGTTGGGCGGTGAGTGGGGGATGATGATGAGTGGAGGTGGGTGATGCATAAGGGAGGTGGGTGATGCATAAGGGAGGAGGGTGGAGGTGCAGAGGGGCAGTGATGTGTGGAGCTCGCAAGGCAAGCAACGCGATCATCCCAAGGTCATTCCCTCAAGGTGCTACTCCACCTGCCACGTGCCACGTGCCAGGCTCCTCCCTTGGACGAATGACAGCATCAATGGAAGGTCTCCCCTGCGGGCCTCACACTCCCCTGCGGGCCTCACACTCCCCTGCGGGCCTCACACTCCCCTGCGGGCCTCACACTCCCCTGCGGGCCTCACTCTCCCCTGCGGGCCTCACACTCCCCTGCGGGCCTCACACTCCCCTGCGGGCCTCACTCTCCCCTGCGGGCCTCACACTCCCCTGCGGGCCTCACTCTCCCCTTGTGCCACCATCTAAACCATGAGTGACTGCTCAACACGTCTTCTTCTATGGAATCGACTTTTGAGTCGACTCAAAAGTCAACGTGCCTCACACTCCGCTTGAGCCACCATCAGAACCAGGAGTGACAGCTCAACACGTCTACCTCTCCCTCCCTGCTCATCGCCGCTCCCTTTCTCCGTTCTCCCGCTCACCTCATTTCTCCCGCTCACCTCGTTTCTCCCAGGGGCGGAAGAGCAGCACGAGCACGAGAGTGATGACGACGGTGGCGCCGCACACAGCAATGGCCACGATGGCACCCGTGCTCAGCCCCGATGACGGCTGCTCGGGGGGCGTGTACGCTGCATGGCGGTGTGGTGTGGTGTGGTGTGGTGTGGTGTGGTGTGGTGTGGTGTGGGCGGGGGGAGGGGAGTATTGAGGCGTTGGAGGCACAACACACAGCAATGGCCACGATGGCGCCCGTGCTCAGCCCTGATGAGGGCTGGTCGGGGGGTGTAAGCTGTATGGTGGTGTGTGGGGTGGGGTTGGGAGGGAGGAAAGAAGAGGGAGAAGTGGAGGAACGCAGATGGAGGATGGCGGGAGGAAGCCAGCAGGGAGAGAATGGTTTTTAGGAAAGCAGGCAGGGAGAGTATGGTTTGATGGAAAGCAGGGTGGAATGAGGGCGAATGGATGGAAGCGAGAACGTATGAAGAGCGGCATACATGAGTGTGCGGGTGGGAAGAGAGGCACTGGGGCTGTGACCGAGAGGCCTTGGGGGATGTGTTATATGTGCATTAGTACACCGTACAATCACACCCGTCTCATGCAGCAGTATGCGATACGCGCAGCCATATACCAGTTTCATCACACAACCCAAGGGACGGTAGCACGGAACAGCGTTCCAACCCCCTCTCTTCTTCCCACCCCCCTCCCTACTTCCCCACCCCACTCCCTTCTTCCCCACCCCCCTCCCTTCTTCCCCACCCCCCTCCCTTCTTCCCCACCCCCCTCCCTTCTCCCCCTCCACTCTCCCTTCTTCCCCACCCCCCCGCCCCCCTGCACTCACGAGCGGGGCCGTAGAAGGCCTCAACACGATAAGACCCAAACTCGTCCAGGCTGACACGCAGCGACGGTTCGCGCGTGGAGAGGGCGGCGCGGATGGCGCGCGGCGTGTCACGCGGGAGCCAGGAGTCGTCACCGGCGGGCGGGAAGAAGAGTGCGGTGATGATGAGCGTGGACTCGTGTGTGGTGTGGTCCGACGCGAATGTTGACGCCAGTGAGGCCAGCGATGCACGGCTGCTGATGCCCGTCACTTGCACCTGTGGGGTGGGAGGGGAGGGATATGGACATGCGGGTTTGGAGGGTGAATGGAGGGTGAATGGAGGGTGAATGGAGGGTGAATGGATAGTGGGAGGAGGAATGAGGGGTGAGAAGCGTTGTGAGGGGTGGAATCTGTTGGTGGGGCACTAGGCTAGAATTGTCATCAGTCTGTAGCAAGCTGGGCAAACAAGTGGTATCAGAATCAAAGGTCTCGGGTTCGAATCCCAGTGTGTGTGCCAAGTGAGCGTTAGTGGCGTAACAATCCTCAAGTGGGGAGGAGATTGTAGACAGCGCACTGGGAGGTGAGAGGGCTGTTGAGAGTGAGAGGGCTACAGGCTCGTTCTGGGAGGTTATGGGTGTGCTATCCACCATACAAACATGCCCTCTTAACCCAATAGGTAGCAAGCTGGGCCAGCAATGAGTGGTTGCGGCTCAAAGAGCCAGCCACCAAGGAGACGCTCACCACACCACCTTTTTCCACCACACGTGGTCGCCCACCATACCTCCAGTTACACACAGCATTTCCCTAAATGTTCAGCTCACTGGAGCTATGGTCATGCCTGAAGTGCGTGCCTACGCACAGGGGGGCGTGCCAGTTGATGCCAGCTGTGAGGGCCGTGCCAGTTGATGCCAGTTGTGAGGGCCGTGCCAGTTGATGCCAGCTGTGAGGGCCATGGACTGCAGCGCACCTGGTCACGCGTGATGTTGATGTGCGCGCGGCTGGTGAGCTGCGCGTACAGCTTCTCCTCCAGGCTCGCGACGAGGTCGGCCGTGAAGACGACGAGGTCCGTGAGGTACAGCCCCAGCTCGGCGCGCAGCGGTGACACGCACACGCACTCGCTGCCGGCCTGGAAGAGCGGCTGGCTGGGGCGGTAGAGGTCGCTGGCGCACACGAGTTGGGGGCAGATGGCTTGCGCCGTGAACTGCGTGAGCGGGCGCGGCGGGGAGCACTGCTGCGCGATCTCCATGCGGAAGGGCTTGCAGAGGTCATTGCCGTACAGCCTGGAGGGGGGAAGGGGGTTGGGGGGGGATGGGAAGTGGAAGAAGAAAGGAGAGGAAGAGAGCATGTGAGGTGTGGATTGGATGGTGGTTGCGATGATGTTCCTGCCAACAGTGATGGCAATGCCGCTGCTGACGCATTATGTTGCTCTGCTGCTGCAATCACCGTCCTGCCCTGCATTGCACTGCACTCGGTGCACTCACTGCAGAGTGACGTTGGTTTGGTTGAGCAGGCGGGGCGGCACAGCAGTGAAGTCGTTGTCGTAAAGGGAGAGCGCCACCAGGCTCGTCAAACCTGACATGTCCGGAATGGCGCCCGTCAGGTTGTTGCCCGCCAGGAACCTGCCATGCCGGGCGAGGTGGACAGGGGTGGACAGGGCAGGGGTGGGCAGGGGTGGGCTGGGGTTGGCAGGAGTGGGCAGGGGAGAAATGAGGTGGTGACATTCTAAGTGAGGTCAGGTGAATTCTTCGCCACGTACCTGCTGCTGGGGAGGCGCAGACATGGGCATAAGTGGGGGTACGGGTGGGGGTACGGGTGGGCACATGCAAGAAGATGAGACGAGAAATGGATTGTGAGGAACAATGGGAGGTACCCTGGAATGAACAGTGGGAGTGGCGGCTCACAGGGAGTGGCGGCTCACAGGGACTGCAGTCGGGTGGAAATGGTGATCAGGAGAGGCAGTTGGTCAATGAGCATGTTGTTGGCCAGGTTGCTGCATAGGCAGGTGGGAGTGGGGTGGGGTGGGGTGGGGTGGGGTGGTGAGGTGCAGAGGGAAGGAGTGGAAGCATGGCCGCCCATGGCACCCGACGCACTTGATAAGACCATGCAGCACTGGCTGCACAACAGGCATCGTAGAAGGTTTTCAGAACGGTGAAGAACGGTGCAAAGAGTTCATGGGGGTGGTAGTGCGTTGCTCACAGGTTGATGAGGTTGGGGCTGTGCTGGAAGAGCGTTGGGGGAATGGCGCCTGTGAAGTTGTTGCTGCTCAGGTCGCTGGAGGTGGGGAACACAGAGGGAGGAGGGTTGAGGTAGGGAGTGGTGTGAGTGGAAGGTGGGAGTGTGGGTGAAAGATAGGAGAGGGAACCGAGAGCATGGGTGGTACGATGGAAGAGAAGGTGGGATGAGAGGAGTTGGGCTCACAGGTTGGCGAGGCCGGCAGAGAGCGGGAAGGATGGCAGCGGCTGGGGTGGTAGCGAACAGTTGCTGGCGAGGCTGGTGCACGTGGAGAGAGGGGCACGTAGGTACACACACACACATACACACACACACACACACACACACACACACACACGCACACACTCTCACACACACACACACACACACACACACACAAACACACACAAACCACAGATGTTTGGGGTCATCTTCAGGCTTAGGAGACACTTTGTCATCACCTCTCACGCCTCCCCTCACTCCTCACGCCTCCCCTCACTCCTCACGCCTCCCCTCACTCCTCATGCCTGCTCCCTCAACTCCTTGAGCGAGGGGCGGCACTCACAAGTCCTTGAGCGAGGGGTGGCACTCACAAGTCCTTGAGGTGTGGGAGGAACCACGTGGTGGGCAGGCTGGGCAGCACGTTGTTACTCCAGTAGCTGCCACGTGGACAAGGTAAAGGGGGGGATTGGGGGAGGGCACAGGGGAATACACAAGGCCGTGACTGGGTTGGTGACAGGGAGGCACAGGTTGGTCATGGAATTGTGACTGTGGCAAGCTGTGCAAGGCTGGGATGGAGAGTGAGTGGAATGCAAAGTGATTTGGAAGGAGGCAGCGTGGAATGATGGCAGAGCTGATGGCACGCACATGACGGTGAGGTTGGTGTTGTTGAAGGCTGCTGGGATGGCATGGGTGAGCCGGTTGCTATCCACCAGCCTGCCCCGCGATGCATGGCAATGATACATCGCAAGTTGGAGGGTGGGATGGGGAGGCATTAGATGGGGGAGGACATGGGGAGAGGAGATGGAAAGAGGAGATGTGAAGAGGAGTTGGGAAGAGTGTCCAGTTCGCTAACCAACTGGGCTAAAAGGGCATGTTTACTTGGTGGGTCAGTGCACCCATACCTTCTCAGGACGACACATGTAGCCCTTGAGAAGACCACTTTGGGCCATTCCAGGGCACATTTTCAACACTCCCATCACTGGGAGGGCCTACCATCTGCCAATAGCAAAAATCAAACATAGGTCTACCCCACTTCTCCACCATGTCCACTTCGCTAACCAACTGGGCTAAAAAGACATGTTTACTTGGTGGGTCAGCGCACCCATACCCTCCCAGGACGACACCTGTAGCCCTTGGGAAGACCACTTTGGGCCATTCCAGTGTCCATTTCCAACAGTTTCCAACAAAGAGGAGTTAGGAAGAGGAGTTAAGAAAAGAATGTCATTTGAATGAATGGGATAGGTATCCTGGTAAGTTGGATAATACCCTAATATGCTTACACTTCGCATGTTTTACGTTTACGTATGTTTTACGTTACGTGCGAGGGTCTAAAACCTGTTTACGCTTGTGGGCAGTTTATTTATTTATTTATTCATTTTTTTTATTTTTTTTAGCTGCCTGGCTTGCAAACAGTTTAGGGGGTTTGAATATGGCACAAAGATATATAAGCACAAAAAATTGTTGGCGTTACTTTCGAGAGGTGCAGAAAAGCAACTCGCGCTTCGCCCCCCAATTTCACACGATATCGCGTACTGCCTTTCCCTTTTCCTCTCTCTCGTTCTCTTCCTCTAATACCCCACGATATCCCAACCAACATACCCCCTCGTGTTCTGGTCCCGTCCCGTGACGTACGCGGGACCCAGAAGTCTACGATCGACGACCTAACTCGACTTCCTAGACTTACCATATAGAGGTAGATAAGATATAGAACGTTCAACCTAGTGTTCTAAGTTACGACCTAATCTTAAGAGCTCGCCAGGCTGTACGCGCTGCCCTGAACGGTTCTGCAGGACCAAGCCAATCATTTTTTTTCCCTTATGTTTAACCGACTTTTTTACCTTCCCGGATCCAAGCCACGCGTATTTGCGCGCAAGTAACCGTAAACGTACGTTACGCGTAACATTACGTGGAGCCCATGGACGTACTGTGTGAAACACATGATGCGAGGGAAAGGCTCTACCGGTGTGCGTCTATAAATCTATCAAATGCTCGAAACTTAAACACTGCTGCGTGGCGGCACTCACAGGTGCTCTAATTTTGGCAGCCTGCTGATGTGAGCCGGCACGGAGGTGAGCAGGTTGCGACTCATGTGGCTGGGGGAGCGATAGTGGGGAGAGGAGTGGGTGAGAGGAGTGGGTGAGAGGAGTGGGGAGGGGGGAGAAGGGGAATGATAAAGAGAGGTGCATGGGGCTGTAAGGGGAGAAGAGGGGTGCAACGAAGCGAAGGGACTAGGGCAGGTTAGAAGGTAATGGGGACCCATTGAAGTTTGTTCCAAGTGGAGGGTAAAGGTGTGCCTCACTCACAGGTAACCTCCACTCACACAAAATAGCTTCCCACTCACACACGCACCCCACTGACACGCGCACCCCACTCACACGCTCACCCCACTCACACGCGCACCCCACTCACACCCGCACCCCACTCACACCCGCACCCCACGCACAGGTGCCCACATGATGCCCACATGATGCCCACATGATGTACAGCCGCGCAACCGCATTGGTGTATGCATGTACAGCTGCTGCAGCAAGCTCACTGCTACATGCACACCCCACTCACAGGTGCACCCCACTCACAGGTGCACCCCACTCACAGGTGCACCCCACTCACAGGTGCACCCCACTCACAGGTGCCCGAGCTGGTTGGCGCCCACAAAGGAGGGCACGGCCCCGTCAATGCGGTTGTCCATGATGTCCCACATGTACAGCTGCTGCAGCGCGCTCACTGTGCTTGGAATGGAGCCCGAGAGGCCGTTCTGGTTGACCAGAAAGTACTTGAGGCTCGCCAGCCGCCCCACTGTGGCTGGGATGGACCCCGTGAGGTTGCACCCGTGCACGTCGCTGGGGGGGAGGTGCGCAGAGAAAGGGCGCACGGGGAGGGGACACACGGGGAGGGGACACACAGGGAGGGGACGGCACCAGGGCGGGACGAATTAGATGCTGTCAGGGAGGAGGGCAAGGAAGCTACAGTGCGGTTGGTGTGTTGGAAAGAGCACTCACAGCAGCGTGAGGTGGGCACTCACAGCAGCGTGAGGTGGGCACTCACAGCAGCGTGAGGTGGGCGAGGTTGCCAAGAGCGTCAGGCAAGCTGCCTGTGAGCTTCGGATTCAGCGCCATGTTGCTGCCAGGGGGGAGTGCGGGCGGGGGACAGGAGGCCAGGGGGAGGCCAGAGGGAAAAAGTGAGTCGAGTTTTGAGATTTTATTTTAGTCGACTCAAAAAAAGGGAGGCCAGGGGGAGGCGAAGGTAGGGGTGAGTGGGAAGGCCAGCGGTTGGCGGTAGGGTGTGTCGCAATGCTGTGGCATCTGCCTGTGTGATGCGTGCAGTGTGTGGGAGGCCGCGGATGGGAAAAGTGACGGGCCCATAACCCGTGAGGACTCTTGAGGACTTTCCTATCTAGGACTCTCTGGGACTCTCTGGGACTCTCTGGGACTCTCTGGTACTATCTACGACTCTCTGGGACTCTCTGGTACTATCTACGACTCTCTGGGAGCTCTGGGAATATCTGAAACTTTTTGGGACTCTCTGGGACCCTTCTGGGCAATGAGCAAGTGGCGTGAGCGAGTGGGAACAGCGGGGAGATGTGGAGAGGGATTGAGGGGAGCGGGGGAAGGCGAGGGCGGCGGGACTGACAGCAAGCGCAGAGTGGTGAGGTCGAAGACGGCGGCGGGCAAGTCTCCCGTGAGACGCGCGTCCTGCAGATCGCTGTGGAGGGGAAGGGGACGAGGTGGTTGGGGGGGTGAGGGGGAGGCGAGGGAAGGGGGAGTGGGGGGATGACGGGGCGAAAGGGGGATACTGACCGATGCGAGTGCGCAAATGAATGGGGAACCGTGGAGAGGGTTTGAGCAAGGCGGACAGGCAGAGTGCCGCTGGGGGGCTGCGAGGAAACTGCCTTTGCGTCGTGAGCTGGTAGTGCTGCCGCACATTCTTCCAACCCCCCTTGGAATCCCGTGCCCTATTCCTCAGCCGCCCCTTCAACCCCAACTTCTCGTCTTCGTTTGCGCGACCCTGCCGCTCATGCACAAGCGCATGTAACACGCCACGCGCACACCAACGGGCTCAGCCGCGGTTTGAGCGCACGCCGCACCCACTCCGGACCCCTTGCGCTACAGGACTTCCACCACCTCTGATGGTAAATGGTGGAGAATCGCGTGCACCAACGGCCCCCCAGATGACTCTCAGCGCAGCCCCTCCAAAAGGCCACTCTGCGGCCACCCTTCTCCCTCCCTTCGCGCGGGACTCACAGCTCCGTCACCACGTTGTACGTCCCGCCCGCGTCGCACCGCACGCCCGCCCACGAGCTCTGCGCGTCCGGCCCGCACGGGTCGTCGCCCGCCCACGCGTTGAATGGCGGCTCGTCGGGCCGCCCCACTGCCGCCGCCACCTGACGCAGCGCCGCCACTGCGGGGCGGAAGAGGAGCGCAGGGTGGGGGGGGGGGGGAGTGGGGAGGGGATGGATGCGATGAGGCGTGCATGATCGCGGGCATCGCGCACCGGTGACCGTACGGCGGTGCGACGCGTGGATCGGCGCTGCTGGGTGCTGAATTGCGTGTGAGGAATCCATGCTAACAGTGATGCTGCGAGGGCGAGCAGTAAGGGAGCGGTTGTGTTGTGATGGACTTGGGCGTGAGGCGAGGCGTAGGGATTATGGGGAAAGAAGGCTATGTACGTGTGTTAGATTGGAATTGCGGGCGTGGGAAATATGAGGCGCCCGAAGCGGCGCGCTTTTCTTCCGTTGGACGAAAACGTCGAGCCGCGCTCCTATCTAACGGTCGCAAATGAAAGAGCTGAAGGCGAAGACGACCCTTACCCTGAGCGGGATCCGTGGCGGCGAGCACGAATGCTGGCCGCAGGCCGATCAGCGCGAGCGATGCGAAGAGCAACACGATCCGCACGGCTGAGAAATCTTTCTCCGAGCCGCAAGCCATTTATAGGCCCTCTAGCTATGTGATTAGCGACGGTGGGGAAAAAATGAACGGCACTAACGAAATTCGTGAACTGCGAGCCTGGACTCTCGTCCTAGTTGGTATTCTTCGGTGCCGAACTTGACAGTGTTGCGGCTGTTTGGAAACTGGCAAGCGAGCAGCTGCTGGCACGGAAACCAGCTGCTGGTGGATTTCGATGCACTCGTAAGACGGCAAAACGCGCAGCGAGTCACGAAGGACAGGAGCAAGATGGACGTCTGTCAATTGGTCGGGAATACCAAGGTGGAGCAAGCCAAGAAACACGGCAGTCGAAGCGGGTGCTGTGAAGGTGTCTGAAATGTCTGAAGCAGTTCAGAATGCTTGAAGCAAGGAAACGTCACGTCAAAGCAGCAGCAATCACCAAGAAACCCAGATCCCATCCAAATTTGGAGAGCCCACGGCAACGAAATTATTGTTGGCGACAGCGAGCGGACATGTTGTCTTGAGACCACCGCGTTTCACTCGTACGCTCACGCGCCGCGGCTGTGCGGATCTAGCGAAGAGTTTGCGAAACAGAGATTTCTGCACCGCTTGCAGGCGATAAGTAACTTCTCGGACCAAAATGCAGTTACCAGAAGTATTCGTGTCGTGCAAGTGAAGAATCCAGTGGGGCGGGGGGGGGGGGGGGGGGGGGGGGGGAGCAATAATTGTCTGGCAACCGGCAACCCGTGTTTATCTGGGCATCGCTTCCAATATTGCATTCCAATGCTATACCCTGAACCCACCCATTGTAAATTCAAGCTGCCGTGTTTCTTCTAGAGAATCATTAATTTCTTGTCGATTGGACATCTTTTCCTTGCGCTGGTTATGTCTTTGATGTTTGAGCTGTTGGGCTGAGAAAAAGCCCTTAGGATCTTTTGCAGGGGTAAATTCGGGGTAGGACAATTGTAATAGCGGAAGCGTTTAATGAAGAAGTTGTGAACCACCTTGCGCTAGTGTGTGAGGGCAAAGTAAGTTAATTAAACCAAAGAGATACAAGCATATATATATATATATGAGTACAAGGAATATGAAAGGATACGGTTATAACTACTTTACTGTTGCTGTTGCGGTTCGATACAGTGACGACTCGGGCAACTGCTCTGTAGCGAGTCAGTTGTGTGTCCTTGCTGTCGCGCTGTACTTGTCAGGTCAAAGGTCGCTGACCTTTGACTTTCGCGTAACCTCCAGCAATCTCTTTAAACCTCCGAGGGTTGACTCGCGTGTGCCTCGATATGGTTCGCCTCGCTTCTGGTGTGATGTTTCGACACGACAGAGGCGCTTTAGGATTTACTGTTTCCAACACTCCCCTTCGCTTCTGGAGTGTCGCTGCTGATGACGTGGCCCTGTCCAGTCAGCAGCATGCAGTACTCGAACTTCTGCTTTCCAAGCTTCTTGGTCAAGTAGTCAGCTGCCATCTCGGACGTGGGACAGTAGGATAGTTCAAGTCTCCCCTTCTCGATCTCGTCTTTCACGAAGAAATATCGCAGGGCGATATGTTTCGTTCTGTTCGCGAATCCATTTTTGTTGGCGATGCGAATTGCAGATTGGTTGTCGCAGAATAGGGTGAAGTTGGGTAACTCGGCTAACTTCGCTTCTTCCAGCAGCTCGCGAAGGTAAAGTCCTTCCTTGGTGGCTGAGCAGAGTGCGATATATTCCGCTTCAGCTGATGAGAGGGCGATTAGTTCCTGCTTACTCGACTGCCAGGAGATAGGACCGATAGGCTCGAGGCGGTAGATGTAGCCGGTGCGGGAGCGCCTGTTGTCGAAATCGCCGGCGTGATCGGCATCGACGTAGCCGATTAGCTTAGTCGGTGTTGTCAGAATGAACGAACAGGAATGATTGAACTAGCAGTGAAATGAGTACAAGTACCTAACCCTAGAAATGTGTACCCCCTAAAGGCTAACCCACTGTAGCCTAAACAACCACAACATATATAATGTTTGACACACCCCCATAGGCAAAGTGGGGGAGAACAAGGCGAAACAAGACCAGTCAGAGCAAAGCAAAGAAAAGCAAGCTCAGGGTGGATCTCAAGGGATACCACACAAATTCCGAGCACAAGCAAGTGGTCACAAGACCAGTTCACATGCAGTTTGATAATATAGCAAGAGGTACAGTGATCACAACCTAGCAAGTGAAAGCATGCAGGTATATATATAGAGATCACAGTACAAGCAAAGTCAAGAAGTAAGCAAGTGAGGTCCAGTAGGTACAAGGCCTAGAAGAGTACAGAAGCGCTGATGGTCACAAGGCTGAAGCGCCTTGGTGAACACGTCAGCAGTGTTGGCCTGAGTGGCCACGTAACGCAGACAAAGCTGACCACGCTGCTGCAGCTCACGAGCCAGAAAGTACCGCAGAGCGATGTGCTTCGTTTTGTGCTCCAGTCTGTGCTCCTCACACAAGGCAATGGCAGCCTTGTTGTCGACGTACAGGAGGAGAACGAGGCCGCTCTCCCAAGTCGGTCAGCAGGTAGGTGAGCCAGCGTAGCTCCTGGGCCGCCATGGCTGTAGCGTAGATCTCAGCCTCACAACAGGAGCTGAGAACTGAAGAAGAACGTGTAGAACGCCAAGAAACTGAACCGGAGCCAAGGCTGAAGGTGTAACCCTGAGACGACCGCTGAGTGGCCTGGTCGTCCGCCCAAGAAGCGTCTGAGTGTCCTGTGAGAACAACTCGGTCTCGCCCTCCAAGCACTAGCCCCATGCCCGACGTACTGCACAAGTAGCGCAACACCCTCTTAGCGGCATCCATGTGCTCCTTCCGGTGACGGCCAGGAGCGACATAGCGTGCAAGGATGCTAAGAGGGTATGCAAGGTCAGGACGAGTGCAGGTGATCAGGTACATGAGGCAGCCCACAAGCTCTGGATACGGGCCACTCGGCTCTACGGACTCATCCGAAGGCAGAGCTGAGAGCGAGTGACCGGTAGGCAGAGGAGTGGACTGAGGCGAGGAGTACGTGAAGCCGAAGCGCTGAAGGACCTGCTGCACCATGTGTGACTGAGTCAAGGTAATGGTGCGCCGTGCTCTGTCCCGGGTGATCCGCAAGCCAAGGTAGCTTGTCAGTTCACCCAGGTCTGTGCACGTGTGTCTCTTCTGCAGCTCCGACTTCACGTGGGCGAGAGCCTGAGTGTCAGCAGTGGCAAAGACCAAGTCGTCGACGTACACGAGGATGTAGAACGGCGGCAACGAAGTGTCTGTGCGCAGAAACAGCGACGGGTCAGCAGTAGAAGGCGCGAACCCAAGTGCCGCAAGTGTCATCCTCAGTGTGTCGTGCCACTCACGTGGTGCCTGGCGGAGACCGTAGACCGGCCGGCGGAGGCTCCACTGGGTACCAGGAGGAAACGACCCAGTGAAGCCAGGAGGGCGGCGCAGCCAGATCTCCTCGTGCAGACTACCCTGCAAGAAAGCAGTGCTGAAGTCAAGAGAGTGAAGCTCGTAGTCACGCTGAGCGGCTATGTGCAGCAGCACCCGAAGAGTGGTCATCTTCGGGGTGGGGGAGAAGGTCTGGAAGAAGTCGACTCCCTCACGCTGGCTGAAGCCTCGAGCAACGTAACGCGCCTTGAAGACAGGCGGAGAACCCGGCGGCCACTTCACCCTGAAAATCCACATGCCACTGACAATGTTCGCCCCTGGTGGGGGAACAGCGTCGACGTAGGTGCCTGTGGACTTCCAGGAAGCCATCTCTGCGTCCATGGCTGTCTGCCACTGAGAGGAGTAGGGACCCGCTATCGCCTCTGCGTAAGAGCGCGGGGTCGGGATGTC